ACCCACACCCGCACACACACACACACACACACACACACACAGAGCGAGAGAGAGATTGCAAAAATGAAAAAGACAGAACCAGACAGAGAGGAAGTTACCTTCACAGAGAGAGTGTGGGAAACCCAGCTGGTGCCTCTTTAAAGTGCAAACATCAAAACAGAAAGTAACAGTCTTCCATGCTTCTCAGTCTGTATATCAATTTGCATGTGCAAGTGTGTGTGTGTGTGCTTGATTGTGGATGTGCTTTCTCTGACTCACTGGGTTGAGCAGCACAGTGAGAAACAGCTCTCCCCCATGGATGCTTTTGTCCAGTTCCTTGGGTCCACCAGGATATTCCTTATAGTAGATGGTGTGAGTAAACAAACCACACGTCTGACGAGGCAGCACCTACGCACATATAGACAGGCGATAAAAGGGAGAGGTTGTTAATATCTTTCATATCTTCAGTTTATAACAGGTATAACAGTCAAGTAAGCAAAGTATTATCAGCAGGTTCTAATTTCAAAAAGGCTTAAAATCTGTTACTGGCCAATCAAACAATACTCCTGTGATTTTCTGCTGCTCTCCTATTTACACTGAGGCATTTTTATCCAAGTTTGCTCAGCTTCCTCTGAGACAAAAGGCTTTATACTTCCTCATCTGCAGTAGTAATCCTGAATATATGTAAACAAACTTTAATGTGTAAAATCAGTGGAGTTCCCCTTTAAGTGGCAAATGAAATCACCATGACACAATGATTTTATATTACAAAGGAAACTAAAGCAGCTACTTCAGTGTGGTGTTTTTGAAAGCTATTTCAGGTTCCAAAGTACAAACAAACCAGGTGAGATGACTTGAAATAAGAAAAATAACACAGCCGGCAGAATAAAAAGATGACAGACGTAAGAGAGAAATGTTCAGCTATAGAGTCAAGCCTGTCTACACTGCAGTTTCTCAATATGAGAATCAGACAGCAGAACAGACCAGAGATATTCTGATGTGTTCTATTATAGAGCATATGGTAGTGTTACCTATCGCAGTGGAGAAGCACAGGTGCCAGTTCTACAGATGGTTCAATTCACATTCTTGCAGTGTAATAGACCTTTTTCACAGCTGGTATTCTGACTTGTCATAGAAGGACAAATACAGGTGGAATGAATAGCTTTAGGTGCTCAAATTCTGGGACTCTGCTGTTGGGAATCCTGGCTCAACCAACACAGCTTACAAACAGGATGGGGCCATCATTAAATGTTGTTAGTTCCACATGTACCTTTTCTGTAAGGACAGATCAACATATCTGCTGTAAAAAAAGGCCAGTAAGAGCCAAAGTAGGGCTGTCAAAAGACACACCATTTACTGCCTCCCTGTGCCTGAGCTATGAGTCCTGAAGAGCAGTCCAGTCAAGATTACTTCACTACAGCAGTAGAGACCTTATTTTCATGCAGGTGCATAGCAAAAAGCATTGATTTGCACTGGTGAAGTTAAATCTTCCTGGGGCACTGTTCAGATTTCTTCCACACCTACACCTGTTTAGTATTTTGGCGATTCCCTGTTTACTGAAGCGGAAGAGGTGATAATGGATTACTTTAAATCCCACCTCGAGCAGGTGCACCACTCACCCTTGGCCATAAAAATACCAAAAGTACACCACCATACCCTGTTTGAGTTGCATATGCTGTGCTCTGACTTACAAACCTGGAGCCCAGATGCAAATTTCTCAGATTCTCTTTATCATGACAATGACATCTATCAGTGTTTTGGTTTGATAAGTGACAGCAAGAATAGATTTGTTTTTTTTTTTGGCTAGTTCTAAAATCTAATATTATAATTATCAGAGTGTCTTTATAGTTTACCTCAACTGTAGCATAGCAGTTGTCAGTGTATCCATTGAGATCACAAAGCCACAAGTCTTTAGGCCAATGTAATTACTCTATGCAACTGAAAAAAACCCCCACTAAACTGATGTGCCCAAAAGATATAATAACCACAGAAGTGAATTAATCACCTTCTCATTAGGTCATTAAATGACAAGAGAAGAGAAAAGAGAAGAGAAGAGAAGACATGAAGGTCTTTATTGTGAACTCCTTGTGGAGCACTTCTCTGTGTGAAATAGAGAGTAAAGCCTGGAAGCACAGATATTGGTTTATCTATAAAACACTGCAGACTCATTCACACAGACGCATGCACGCACGCACACACACACAGAAGTGAGTGAGAGAGAGCGTGAGAGAGAGAGAAGGCCACCAGAGCCACAGACACTCAGCACTATTTCACCAAACCAATTATCCACAGAGCTATAGCTCAAACTGATCTAGTACATTTTAAAAACAAATACACACACACACACACACACACACACACACACACACACACACACACACACACACACACACACACACACACACACACGCACACACACACACACAGCACAATCCCATATCTCAGTCTGATTTGTTCTGATACTGTGGGTCCAGTGGGTGGCTCTCAATCTGCTGACAGAGACACACAAACACCAATTTTACAGCTTTAACTCAACGTCCTGTCCTCCTCACAGCAAACAGAGATGGAGCAAAAGGCAGAGGAGAAAGAGATTAATAGACAGAAACTGCAAGAAAGATTGGAAGTGAAAAAATGTGAAAGGTAAAGAAAATGGGAAGGATGTGAGTAATGTCCCATAATAACTTTACAAGAGGTCAAGATCTGAAAGCTCACCAGTTTATGGTGAAGTGGCTTAAAATTTAAATTCAGCACGGACTGAGGGTCACATGCTGTACACACAAACCATCACACAAAGTGCCTCTCAGAAAAATGTCTTACCTCCATGAGCTAAGTTTGGTTTCTCTTTCCTAATCTCTCTTTGCAATTTAGTCAGTGCAGCATGCAGTGTCTTGGAGCCTTTCACTATTTTAATGCACTGCTTTCACTTTCCTCCTCAGTCTTAGCATTTTAACAATGGCTGCTACAGTAATACACACTTGTGAATCGCAACAGTTTTGCAGAATTTGACAGAACAATGCCACTCGTCTTTAGATCGTTTACAATCAGTCCAAAATGCTGTGGCCTGTTTGCTGACAGGTACTCGCAAATGTGAGCACATTACATCTATTCTTGCTTCACTCCATTGGCTCCAGGTATGGTTCCCGATTCACTTTAAAATACTTCTTCTGACCTGCAGAGCCTTAAATGGGTTCTGCTCCCTCTTATATCCTTGATCTTTTACATCCCTGTGTTTAGTTGTAAGGGGATTGTAGTTGTTCAAATTTCTGTTATTATAGAATCACACTAAGGACATTTCAACCATGTTGGCTTAAATATTAAGATCCAAAGTTCATTCTTGACCTGAGCAGTCAGCGGATAAAATAATCTCACCTCAAGGTCAGTTCAGTAGCTGTTCTGGAGCTTCTGAACATATCGCATCATTCTAATTTGGTTATGATGATTTCTTTTAAGCAGACATGGATGAAAAAAATGAACATTTTAACATCATTTTGACTGTTCTGAGGGAAACGGAGGTTGTTGGGAGTGCACCATGAACAGAGCTGCCCCTCTGGACAGTCTCTGCCCAGCAGTGCTGGCTTTGAGCATGTGCACGCTGCATTCTGGCTTTCTAGTAAGCAACAAAATCAAGTCATTTCCTGACAGACCCGAGAGATGAGGAAAGCTCACTCTAAATGATCATTACTCTGTCATTTACGTGTGTCCTGCTCAGCTACGATACTGGTACATGCACAAAATCTCCAACTGGAAGAGCAGAAAATAAGCCTACTCCAACCAATAAAAATGTGTCAATAGGATAATGTTTTATTTGAAAGACAAAAGAAGCAAATGTTTTAAAAAGTGTTCAGAGAACAGCTGAATCTGTCCCTGGGATCGATGGTAAGCTTGAGAGCAGTTTTTGTTGGAGTTCAAGGAAGTTGTTTTTTTAGCTATCCTTTAAAAAATTCTTTTTTTGTTATAAATTTAACATTTAAATCATCTGTCAGTTTGTTCTTTGTGGTATATCATGTTGTAAAGCGTTGAATGTGTATTTTTATTCAGCGGCTATTCAATTCAGTGATTCATGAATGCTTCTCATTGACATAGTATTGATAATGTATAACAGCACATTATAGCTTGTCAAAATGTCAGCTCTGTATTGTGTTGAAAGGAAGGTGGATTAAGTGGCTGTCTTTTATGATGCTGTGACAAGTTGTCAAGAAATAAAAGCAGCCTTCTAGGACTGATTAGGAAACTGACAAAGCTGCCTGTTCAAATTGTTTGCTCAAATCTAGCAGAACAACATGGACTGGTAATTTTGGTGTCAGATGTGATTGGTTCTTTTGTCAATTAGGTAACAGTTAAACACATCAACAAAGACTCTGATTGATAAGTGAATGAAGAGGAGGAGGAAGAGACATAAGGAGGGATGAAGACAACGTGTTTAGGTGAAAGGAGTGACAAGAGCAATTCTGTTGCTGTCTCAAGCAGTGACTGGTGAATCATTTATTGAAGCATGGAAGTGCAAAACTGCACTCATTACTAAATACTTATTCCATGATACACACCCTGTACATATACAAGTACACAAATGCACACACACACACACACATATACACAAAGAAGCTCACCCCTTCAGTTACATTGGGAAACCATTGAATCAGTGTGGAGCTGACTGTGCTGCGGTGAGGCGAGGTCAAAGAATTCATAACAGACATGCACACACACACACACACACACACACATATACTGCATTATTGATTTTCTGTTTAAGACCTCTAGAAACAATCAGGGTACAATTTACTAGTCGGCAAACAAATACATGAACAAAAAGACAGTTTCTCAAAGGAATTAAAAAGAACAGCAGCGAAGCAACATATCTAAGCAAACTCTTGTTGTCTGTGCATTTAAGCTTGCTTTGACTTTCTTCTTCAGACAATTTAAAATTTATTGTTTTAATTTCAGTTTGATTAATTAAGCTAATCGTTTTTCCTCCTGGCAGGCAAGGACAACACATAATGTGCTGTGAGGATTTGATTCATGATCCCTGGATCATCAGTAGTGTTACATTAAGAGAAGCACCAGATGACATACAGGGATTCTTCAATAAGCACTTAGATGTGATATTTATCATGTTTCTCTGAGCACCCCGGCACCTCTGGTCGTCAGACAGTGTACATCTTTGCCATTTCTGCTGGGCTGACACGATTAATAAAATGTATCTATACACAACACCGGCTCCGACTTGTATCTACAGATACCTACAACAAACAGCGGTGGAAGAATAATGAAAACTACCTCTAGTCATATAAAAGATTCAAAACAGAGGAGAAAAGTCATAAATAATCACAAAGGTGTTTGCCTGTAAAACATATTCTGAATTGAGACTTTCTAAATTTCAGTGACACAGGAAAAACTGTATGTACAGAAACGTGTCAGCTGATCATAGATGTATAGATAGATATTTGTGCGCACTTGCTAATGCACCCCTGGGGCTTTTCAGAGATGTGTGACTAACAAGGTTAGCTCCTCACCATAATGTTGTTGTGGATGAAGCCCTTGCGGTAACGGGCAGGCTTGAGGTGGGGATACTCTTCAGTGCTGGTGACCCTGATGTTCCACACACGTCTCCAAGCCTCGTACAGCTGCAGGTGTACCGGGTAGACGCCTGAGTGGTGAGGGGCCACGGCATAACCCATGTCCACTGGGATGTTGTGCTCCTGGAGGGGATCAGGTATGCGAGGGTTAGATACAAAAACAGAAAAGTTCTGGCACAACTCTGACAGAGGACATGGTCGCACATAAACACACGGAGCCTGACAGTCTGACCTTGTAGAAGAAATGCGCAGTTTGTGTTGTGCTTGTTACAATGCCGGCCTTCGGGCTGGAAATTAAATGAAATATAGTTTGTGTGAGCAGGTGTGTGAGGGTGGATGGTTGCTGGGTGCATTTACCAGAGTGATGGTGTTGTCCTTCACTCTGACACACACCTACATATACTGACAAAGCTAAGCATCAGTGGCCAGGGGATGAGGGAGTAGGGTATGCATGTGTGTGTGCTGTAGAGGTTAGAGATCACAATTTATGATCAGGTTGACCTTCAACAACTTGAACCAGCCCCCTTCACTGTACTGTGTGAAGTATGACCCAGAAGAGTCATACAAATCATCTCCACTCACTCACTCACTCCCACACACACACACACACACACACACACACACACACACACCACCAAAGCACAGCAAACCAGAGCAGCGCAACAAAAGTGCCTGACCTTCAAGTTTAAACAGGAAATATTAAAAAGTGTTCAGGTCATCAAAATAAGTGAATCATTCCCAACTGGGAGATCTTTCTTTGTTTTGTTTCAGAAAATGACAACATGATGGTAAATGCAAAAATAATCTTATTATTGGTGCTGACAGAAATACAGATGAATTGTTTTGTTAGTCAAGTGTCATACACCTACAGTAAAACCAGCTGCTCTTCCCACTTTGGCTTACAAGACATACAGACGCAAGAGAAAACTAAATGCATATTCAAACCCATCAGATATCAACTTTGCAAATGAAAACTACATTTCTCTCATTCACTGATAATAAACATTTGATTTGTATGTAAATATGTACTCTAATCTACATTTATCTGTCAGGTCAGACAGACATTTTCAGAAAAAGCTTAACTTCAAAATCTTTATTAGAGTAAAATGGACAGAATACTATAAAATCCATTTAAAGTAAAGCTATTTTCCTAAAGCACTGTGGACTCCCCAACATACTATTAAGGATGAAGTTAATTTTACTATGGCCGGCTGGAAAAAAACCCACTGTTTCCTCCCTCCCATAGTCCCACATACTATAGCTGAAAGTGTCTAGACCTGGTGGAGCAAGAGGCATTCACGTGTACGTGTTCATGAGAGTACCATCCTCAACCAGTAAGCGGACCTTGAAGAAAACTATAGGTTTATCCCAGTTCCCCTAAATGCATCCACCTTTCCCTGACATGCGTCTTTTCCTTGTGTCTTAGTCCCGCCCACGTAAGATACAAAGAAAAGATGTAAGGGAAAACTGCGAGGAGAGAGACACCGAGCGAACACATTTCAACTGACATGAGACATCCCTTCCTTGAGCCGAGCCTTCATATGAAGCAACCATTCACTGATTTCCAACAAAGGGGTGTGTCAAGCCGTAACAGATGTCAGCGCAGGATGCACTCATGTCCTCGTTCTTCAGCGCAGCGATAAGAGCTTTGGGATGTCCTTCATCATGGCAGAATGATTTCTGGGTCAAGGTTAGGGACCAAGAAATGATAAAATAAGAGAATTGGGATCCACATAATGATTAGAAATAAGAACAACCAACCAATGAGCTCAAATGAAAACGTACTAAATAAAACAACTGTATTAATAAACTACAGTAGATCCTAAGTTTAGGTTTTAAATAAATTCCATAGCCAACACCAAATACTACGTAAAGAAAGAATACTGTCACCTGATTAGAGAGGGAGTGAGTGAAACTTCCTTACAGGATCCGATCCAAACATTCATTTGCAACTCATTTGCATTGATAAATATGTTCTACAGGAATTGTAAATTTCCTTTCCCCCCCCATCAACATAATAAGGGCTTGTCAGAAAATGTAAACTAGAGCACATTTTAAATGAAAACCTATCAACATGTAACACAACAGATTCTCTGTTGTGCATTTTATGTTACATACTCTGTAACACAGTGAAAATAAGAAATTCTGAAACTCCGAGTAAAGTCATTTCAAAAAGTACTTTGACCTACGAGCACCATGTCTGCAATCTGAATGACTAACAGCAGCACGTCCTTGAAGAAAATGCAATCATGGGAGACGAGAGTGATTAAAAGGACACAAAGAAGAAAGCAACAACGAGATAGACAGCTGCAAGAAATGTGCGCGATTGTGTGTGTGTGTGCACATTCATCTCACTAGTGCAAACTCCTTGTTGAGAACCATCTGCTCCAGCAGTGAGGACTCGTTGTGGAAAAGGTGAGGCTGCATGTGGCTCCACATGTGGGGGAACCACCAGAACTCATCCACATACTTCAACAGTAAATCATCTCCCTCGTCCTCCTCCGCTGTGCCTGCACGCACAAAAACATACATGTACACAAGGACAAAAGGACAAAGGATGAAACTAATGTGTGCTTCACACAGATTTGGAGCACGTGAAGAATTTTTGCTACTGTATAGACACAGCTGTACGAGTATATCATCAAGCAACTGGGCTGTCTTAAGGTCATGCTGCTAAATAAGGTGTGTGGATGATACCATGGTGATGCCACATAAGAACGGATGCTATGGTAATAAGTTTCATTCTGTATCAGATTTCTTCTGAATATAGCCGCCTTCAGTCGATGTTTCTTTTCCAGTGAATCCTACTTACTTGTTCTCTAAAAACAGAGAACTAGAAATTCAAAAAAAAAAAGTCCTAATATCCATAAAAGAGCAAAATGTCACAGCTTCACAGATGTATGTCTAAAGATATTAGATGAAACTGACTCAGTCCCATTAATACCAGTGTGTTGCAAGTAAATCCTTTGTTTGATGAACTAAATGTAGTCACTTATTTACAGCTGTCTCTATGTGTAATAGTCCTTATATAGGTTATTTAAAATGATTTTATTTCTGTAAAAAAGCACTGAATTTACTGCGATGCAAATACCTAAATTAAATCCTTTCTACCTTTGCTTTCATCTTAACAGGACATATATTTCACATCAACCAATGGCCTCACTAATAAAGTTATTTATCTAAGGTCAAGGTGTAAATAGTTAGTTGACAGATGCATTTGCACTATGTACTGTATGCTTTGATGTACAACTTCATTAAATCTACATTAATAAAACTACGGGTTTACACTGAACTGCAAAAAATGACCATTAATTCTATATTGATGGATGGTGCTACATGCCAACAAATGTAAACAAATGTTAATGTGAAATTCTCCATTTAGAAAAATCAGTTTACAATCAGTTTAATCCTTACAGTTCATCATAATCACCAAAAACAGCTGACCTCCACAAGGTCTGGATGATACATGGCCTTTGAAAAAATAAATCATATTTTATTACCAAAGTGAAAGTAAAAATGAAAAAAAAAAAGTGTTTTACACCAAACATCCATTTACAGTATGGTACAGTATGCTTAGTTTGGAACACATGGATAGTTCTCATTTACTGATGGTCAAATTATTTTGTCCATAACTTTTGCCTTCTTGAAAATATCCAGAAAAGTCATTCGCACACACACACACAAAATAAGGCTAAATTATAAAATAATACCTTTTACAGAAGATGTAATAACAGACCTGTATGGTAGAACTTCCCAGAGAAGCCCAGATTGAAGGTAAAGTTGGAGATCTGAGAGCGCAGCTGTTTCTGAGTATCAAGCAGAGCCTGTAAACAGACAGATAAATACAGATTATCCTATGGCTTGACAGTGGCACCAGTCACCAACAGCATGCTACTATTATTACAGCATGTTTCATTGTTTTGTCTGTTGTTATCCTGCTTCGGTGTTTTCCAGTGGCTACTTCTGTCCTTACAGTTACCTCAGTCCCTGGTTTCAATACTTGAATCAGGATTTCCTCCACTTATTTAATGGCTTCATTAGTTTACTGGCCTTTAAACAAAGACTCTGTAATGAGTGTTAACTAAAGAGAGCCGCACAGCCGCACACACAGTCTCACACTCACCAACGGACGGTAATGCGAGTTAATGAAGGTCAGTGCATTAGTAGCCTCTGGAGGGTGGACTAATAACCCCACACACACTCCTCCCTTCTCATCATTCTCTCCATCCATCCCTAACACTACCAAGTGAAACCTGGTCACCCCCCTTCCTCTCCCTGATTCTCCCTCCATTCCTCCATCTTCCCGCTTCTGAGAAGCGGGAACCTGCACTCGCCTTTCTGCCCCCCTTCTCAATTTGTCTTCCACTCCATCACGCCAGCCTCCACCCCACTTCTCTGAACCTCCATCTCTCCCTCGCTTGCTCAGTGAAAATGTCACATTCTCAGGAGACTGGGCTGTTCTAATTTAAAAGGAAGGCTAAAGCAGCATGGAGGAAAGATCGCTCCCTCTCTTTGTAGAACTCTGCCCTTGCTATTTCCCTTGTATTGTCCCGCCCCAACTTCTTGCTCATCATTAGCGCCCAAACAAAAATGTTGTTTATTTATAAAATCCTTTCTTAACATGGTATATTTCAGTCTTTCTCAGTCCTTCTGCTGGGCTAAGTGCCACATCTCTACCATCACATCTCTTACCACTCTTTGTCATGCTGCTCTTAATCGATCCCAAGGAACCTTCCCTGATTTACGAGACCAGAGCAGCTGATGTCAGTGCAAGGAATGGGTTCCAAGCAGCCTCTGTCTCTCTCGTTCCTCCTGTGAGAGTGTCTTCCAAACAACAAATATATAGAAACATGCACAGAGCGTCTTTATTAGCTCTAATCTAATGGCGTTGAAGATGGCCGCATGCTGACAGATGTGCACACTTCCCTAATCTGATCCCCTGTCTCCTCTGTTATGAAATCCTCTACATCTTACACATACACACATTTGCCTATCCACACACAAGCAAATGTGTGGATACAAAGACTTAAGAATCAAATTACTGCAAGTTCGTAGCCGAGTGCTTTGCATTGTAACTCAATATACACTCCCTGACGCACTTGGTGGAAATACATTATTAACACGTGTGCTAGTAGCTGTGAGAGTCAGCGCGGGTGTGTGTCCAAGTGTGCAGTGTATTAGTTTAAACTCCTCATTTATATTCTGCTACCTAGCATCCATAGCTGAAAGCCAGAAAGCATTTCTAATGTGTCAGTGAGATTCACAGCAACAAAATGACCATGCAGCTGCATTTGCATGTTTTTAGTCCTTTAACTGTCACAGTCAACATTTTGTCACCTAATTCCACTGTGAGCCATTTAAAAAACTTTCTTTGTTGTCATGCAAAATCCCCCGAAAAGGGATTTCGCTGACTGCCATGTTTAAGCAGAATCAAAAAAGCATGAGGTTTTGAAAGTAACAATGTAAACTTGGCCTTTTTTTTGCATGAAAGAGACTGTTCAGAAACTAATTCTGAAATTGCACACACTAGACAACTAACCAACAAGAAGAGGTTTCAAAACGCCACCTGTGCTGTGCAACCGCATTGCTGATTATGAAACTTTCATAGGCAACAGATTGTTCACTGTGATAGAGCAGTTCTCTCAACCAAGTTTCACTTCTCTGAAAAGAGGATATCAAATCATTGAAAATATATATTGTGTATTAGGCTGTATTATAGACAAAATTTTGAGTTTACTGGCTCCATTTCAGGTTTAGGGATAAGTGTAAGCCGGGGGAGATAATCAAGAGGACGCTACTGATGAGTAACCCCATCCATTCCATCCATTTTCCTCCGCTTATCGCGGGGGCAGCAGTCTAAGCAAAGATGCCCAGACTTCCCTCTCTCCAGACACTTCCTCCAGCCAAAAAAAAGCGTTCCCAGGCCAGCCGAGAGACATAGTCCCTCCAGCATGTCCTGGGTCTTCCCCGGGGCCTCCTCTCGGTGGGACATGCCCGGAACACCTCCCTAGGAAGGCGCCCAGACTGATGAGTAACCTACTGTAAAATTTCAAACCCTGTATGAGATGTATGTTACTCTAGAGATTTTGTGGTAAAAAGAGACTTTATTTTACTTTGAATTCTCTTATCTGATGTTTTAAAATATTCAAAAAGAAAATCTGATATCAGAAAGGTGTAGGGAGAGGTGGTTTCTGAAGATATCTGCCCACCTGATAAACTGTTCAGATGGACTATAAAGCGGCTTAAGAACCTTCCTGATTTGAACAGTAGCCTGTCCTCCCTGATTTTACAACATTTTACCTTGGATACTCAGTGTGTCCTATCCCTATAAAGGAGACATGAGACCTGTGTATTATTGGCAAATACTCACAATACTATCACATCAGGGTACTACAACCACAATGGTAACAGGATGTTCTGTAAACACCTGAGTGAACCACAAAGCAAACACTGTGCAGGGCAAATTGCGGCAGGTTACTGCTCTTCAACTAGAGACCTGGGCTTCTGTATCAGAGGACTACCGTATCAAAATACAGACAGTGAACATATGACAAA